AGTTTACCACAATCATTCCGAGGTGCCTACACTTCCAGACACTCATTCAGGCAATATGGTTAGAAACTGACAACAAGAACGCCACTGGCATCGGTTGGCAGCCATACCTTGCAGTGTCTGCAACCAGTCACAGTAAGGATCACGTGGCCCCCATCCTGGAAGGCGAGTAGCACCGACGGCACCCAAGAGTTTCGTGATCCTCTTCATACTCTCCTTCCAAGTAAAAGGTTGGCCACGGCACTTTTTACGTATTTCTTGGCCTGAGTTCAACAGGTAATTCTTATCTGGCAAGCCTGGAATTTTTGAATCAACATCACATGATCTTTCGTTGGGTTGGCCAAAAGATAAGTGCTTATCAGGTGCTGATTGATTCACGGGAAACCAATAAACACGACTACAGTAATTTAAGGGCGAAAAAAAGGTGTACGAAACATTACTTCAACCCTCGAATATGTTATTTCATTTCACGTTCTTATGTTCCCAACATACCCAATAGACTACATTATAAATTCTCAATGACATATTAATGACCCGCTTGGGTTTATCCGAGTTCTTCGTTCGTCATTAAGGGGTATTCATTGCATGGTTATCTTCAATACCCCCCTCAACCAACAAATTCTCCCATGGGAATACCACTTAGTTAGTGAGTTTTACGCTCCATGTGCGCTAAATATAGGTTGACGTATGTGCAAAGACCGAATTTGTATTTGCATTTGTAATTGGCAAATTCTTCACGCTACCAGTAATCTATAAGTGAAAAATAGAAAAATACACTTCATCCGATGAGTATGATATCCAACTGAGAAGTCGTTTTGCCAAATTTGGATTTAATTACTGGTGTGCTGACTGGTAATGTGGTGAAATACTGGTAGATCGGGTGAATTTATTGGTTGTTGATCACGTGCCTGTTGATCTGTTCGCCGAGCTTGGCAATTGGCTAGCAAACGTTTGGTCACCATACGAGGAAACATCATCATTGCGCAGTTGGGTGGGTACTTCTTCCTTGCTTGCGTGTGTTTATATAGCAGTCGAAGGCTATCTGTTATCTTTTGACGTGATTGGCTACTTGGAGCGTAACGAATCTAGTAAATCTATTGGTCCGTTTGTGACCTCTGTTGCGTTGCGGTCTGTGTTCCTTTGTGTTGATTGGTTATCCCAACGGCTCCTAATTTTAGTAGCTTGTTATCTCTGGCCTTGATTCGCATCGCGTTGTGGTCTGCCTTTCTCGAGTTTGACTGGTTGTTTGCACCGCCCTTTTTCCTCTACCGTGGCGGTTAGTGTCCCTGCGCCCGCCGGTTGATTAGGTGATTTGGTTGGGCGCTTCCTCCAATCCAATTGATGTGTCCATTTGGATGACGCTTTCCTGCTTCTCTTATGAGTTCCTCGTCTGGTCACTTTAGCAGCTCTAAGCTCTGTGGTTCTGGCGTTCTGTTGCTCTTGGTGGCTGATAAATGGGCTCAATTTCGAAAACCATACACATCGCCAGCGAGCTGTGTCCTGGCTTCATTTATCCGCAGGCCAGCCTCCCGGATCCGCTTCAACATAGCCCTTAATCGCTCTGGTTCCGGAATGCTGTATGCAACGATAACATCTTCGTACACGGCAACATTCTGCAGCCCCTTCGCTGAACGAAGCACCAAGCGCCTGATTGTGGATGGTGCCCCTGACAAACCAAGCGGCATTCGTTCAAATTGCAATTGGGTGTCCCCAACGGTAAACGCAGTTTTCTTCCGGGCCTTCGCTTTGACAGGTAGTTTCCCGTATCCGGAAAGCACGTCGAACACACTAAATATCACGAATGCTGGAGGGAATCGAAAATCCCCACAACCGAAGACTCAGCTAAAACCCGATTTACGGCCGTTCATTCAATCACCGGGAATCCACGCGAAATCCGTTTCCTGTTAGGCTTCTTTAAAAGCACAACTGGGACTTTGTACGCACTATTGGCTTCTTTGGTTGTCATTTTTCAACATCACTTGAATCTATTTAGGGATCACCTCCCGTAGATGGAGCAGCAACGGACGGGTCCATAAGGTCGGAAGCGTTCTGTCAATAGGGAAAATTCGTGTTCAATCCACGGGCGGGAGCAAAACTGATCCTCATATTCCGTGAACAGTTCGGAATGGTCCTCGACCACGGACTGCGGTGACGATAAGTTACAAGTCGGAAGCTTTCGGCCGCGCAGCACACTCACGACAGTTCTGGGATAGCCTTCAGACTTGACTGTGCCATACCTTGTCACCAGTTTTTCCTGCTTTAGGCTAACCACGGAATCTGTGCTCTTGAGAAAATCTGCCCCGATATTGTATATGCTGATCAGGAACGCGTGCTGTGCGGACTTGTCGCCTAGGCATATTGAGTGCATTGACAATCCGTCAATCTTCATTCGATATCCACCAACTGCTCTCACGGCTAGTGTGCACGATCTGCATTTAGCTTGGTTCCATCTCTGACTCAGAGGGACCTACTTCTTTATCAGTCAAGCACAACTCCCTATTCCCGTCCATCTCGATAACGATTTGAATGGCAGCCTGTGCCACTGCGCTAATCGCAACCCACCCGAAAAAAGAGAAATAATCCAAATTTTTATTATGTACAAGTATTTGGGTACGAGGGCATTGATCCTTACGGTGGCCAGCCCCGCCGAACTTGTAGCACTGGCTATTTCTAGCGCACCACCGCGATTCCATCTTTACGCCTGCATGACGTTGCGCGAGTTAATCCACTGTGAAATGCAGATCGTCAACTGTTGAAACATCGCTGTTCTCGTGCGGCTGTAAAATGTCCAGTGTTGCCTCGGCCAATTCCCGTGCCACATGAACCAGCTCTTCCACAGGCAACTGGCCAGTCGCTCTCGCCAACAGCAACTGAGCAGCAAGCGTGGGCTGCACTCCGATGAACTGGTCAAATAGCAACTGGTGGCGCGACACTCCGTCCAATCCCGGCAAAGCGCGATCCAACGACTGCTGCAGGCTGGAGAAGAACACGATTGGGTCACATCCATCTGGAATCTTGGCCGTCTTGAACCGCCTCATGGTCAAATGGCAGTCGGCCGGCGGGCGTTTCAAATTCCGCTGCAAGGGCTTCCTTCGCAGCAGCCCAGTTACTCCTCCAAGGGCCTCTTCTGGACACATCCATGGCCGTTTTCGCCCGGCCTCTGTGGAATGTCTTCAGCGCCATCAAATTACCCCGGTCGGTTGCAGACCAGCGGCATCCGCAAATCCTCAAATTCCTCAAAGAAAGTCCGAACAACCACATTCTAAAGGTTGTGGCCACAGATCCTCATTGTTATCCTGGACACGGCATCAAATGGACGGAAGAAGGCCATCTCTGAGGAGCTGTTTTTCAGAAAAACCTACTGAACAGGTGGAAACTATAGGACAGGGGAGAAAAACTCTCATATGCATCTTGTTTACAAAACTGAATGTTCATGTTCTCCTTGAACGCATCTTTCTGAAATCTCCTCGATATTCATTGACTGTTACTCAAGGGCAAGCGATTGTTACGAAGCTACTCCACGAATTCCGTATTACGTCTCATTTTCAAGAGACGCAAAACGGATTTACGAGAACACTCTACTCGAATTCCTCATCTGCGTGATTCACCAATATACAGGGGACTAGTTCCTGTAACTGGCCGGCTTCGAGTGTTTTGTGGTAAAATTTGCGCTGAGAACGGAAGAACGTTGCCCAAATAATGACAACTGAGATGTAGATATGAGCTTTCGCTTGCAGTACCAATTCTTCAAGTGCCAAGATGTCTTGCCCTAGGCTGGATTAGCTTTGGGAGGGATTGTCAAGTCAGAATGTGGACAGTGTGAAACTAAGTTAGCTGTTTCCGTAAAGGTCACGTTATTTTATGGGCCAAGATACTTAAAGAAGGCCAAACACATACACGAGGATGATTAGACTCCCAAAATAGCCCTGCGTGTTAAACATTGTCTGCAAAGAATTATTGACCAACTTGATATTACTCGAGTGGCATTATTGTTAGGAACGAATTAGCGAATTTCTTCTGACCGCAAACTGCAGGGCCAGCAGTACGTGATTGGTAAACCTCTGTGCGTTAAATTAAATCGCAGTTGATTGCTGCATGGCATCCTACAATAATACTTAGTGGGTTGATGATGTAACCAACTGCTTGTGATTTAGTTTCCTTGTGAATGGGTATCTATCGAGATTCAGGGTAGCAGACGTAAAAGCCCCTCGGTTTGATGAATGAGGTCGGAATGTTCCCAGATTTCTTCTTTCACATGAACTTGCTGCGTATGTACTTATGCAGATATTTTCTTACGTAACCTAGCGATATACTTTTTAATAGGAATGCTGTATGTGTTTGATGAGACCAAAGACCGAATCCGAAATTCCTAATCGGACGGCATTTTTATTTACTCTAACGATAATTTAGCTGTTACAATAAACTTACTTTGACTACTTTGCAAGAAATTATTTGTCCCAGCATTTTCATACGGTAAGACCCAAACAGGGCGATTAAATTAACGGTAATCATTTTCACAATTTAGCAGCAGAAATGTTTTTTGACAGTTATCGTTGTATCATTATGTTATTAATATGCATGCTGTCGTTTATTAGATTAATGTGAGATCATATTGCTGGTGCTGAGCATAGAGGAGAGAAAAATCATGAGAGACTAACAACGCGACGGGATGTTCCTATATCGGTTGGGTTTGGAAAAAAATTGGTCTGCTTGGCAATCCCAGCAATGTGCGGTTGCCACGAACGAAACTACAAATTTGCTCATCAAAACGTCACAAGGTCCGTAATCCATAATCACTTATTGCCTGCCTGAATGTATTTATCAGTGGTGAGTGTTCAAATCAGTATGATTTAACACACCGTTTTGATTTGCTAAAAACAATGATAAATTGCAGCCGAAAATCAAGATTTTATTCGGCAATCAATGAATAAACAACAAACTTAGATAACACTGTTAATGTTTAACTAAAAATAAAGGTAAGAAGTAATGTTTTCAGTACAATGTTTCAGAGGTTAAAAATGATTCTTTCGATGACCAGGTTAACTCACTTTGCCCAGCGCAGAATAACGATGGACATTTCGGCTTCTGCTTTGCAGAACAACTTGATAAAAGAAATTATTATGATTTATGGTAATTCTATATACTTATGTTATCAAAAGGATGTCCAGAGACGGAAATACTTTTAACGACTTTACATTTGCCATGAAAAAAACACGGTATACAACTGGCTAAACTGGATCGTACTGGTTAAGACAAGTTTTCACAGCCATTTTATGAACGTACAACATAAAATGTTCTGAAAATTTATGTAAATAATTTCGGTGCTCGTTGAACCACCGAGTTATGAAACCAACGAAATAACCTTCTCCTTATATCTACATAATTAAATTTTTAAGATGTCGGAAATATCACAGCGGATTTATATAAGGAAAATTCAAATTCGCATAAAGATTTTATGGTCTGAATTTTCAGTTTAGTAGAACCAACAGAAATTTCAACATCATGAATAGCCCGTTGCACTTTGTTGAATAGAACGCTCGGATAGTTGTGTGCATTCGCTGGCCTACCATTTACAAAACAAACATCACTTTCGTCCGCTGGGGCGAACAATTCAGCCCTAAAAGTTCACCGTGAGAAGTGAACGTTAACACAAAATTATTAAATTCCTGGAATCTAGGTTAATTATTATTGCGGACCATTGATTTTTGGTGTTAACAAAAAATTATTAAATTCCTGGAATCTAGGTTAATTGTTATTGTGGACCATTGATTTTTGGTGCAAAATCGACCGAACCACACGCTGCGATTGTTAGTTGCATCGAAACTCACCCCGCGGAACACTACCCCCGAATTCGATGAATCTTAGTATATTACCAGGATAATTACATACGATTGGATGAAATAAAACAGTACATTTGACACACAGAAAGTTTCAGTGACCAGCAATTATTGCTTATGCCATCAAAGGAAACAAGTGGATACTGTGGGATTATCACAATAAGTGGGTACTGCTAGATTTGATAAAGAGACGCTCAAGTTTTAACGGCGGCCTGCAGTATTTACAGATCCCAATAAACTCCGCAAACTGCAAATATGATGTAAGATGATACGATGATATCTGATATGATAAAGTACGGGAACTTTCACTCATGAATAACAGAGCACAACCAACATGCACGGTTCCTTTTATCAAACAAAATTTAGTTTGAAATCTGAGCATCGCTCAGCTAAGACACTTCTGTCATAATACCAAAATGACGTTAGTGACCAGGACATAGTTTACACACAAAACAAGCGCCATCCGACGCTCTAGAGGGGAGCAAGTATTGGAATCACATCAAGTGTATTGATTCAGCCAGCCACTGGTACATCTGGTTTGGTTAACTACTTACATTAGTAAGTCCCATAGGGGAATATTACCAGCAGTTCATCTCAGCTGACAAAAGTAAAAACCGAGCCATATTCCAGCCAAAGCATGCATAACGACATGTGATCGCATAAAGATCTGGAGCGCTTAGGTATACAGGGTGGCCGCATCTGATTCATTTTTCATCTCAAGGGTTCCATTCTGAAGAAATTTCGGTGCACCGAAGTACAAGTGAAATTGCTCCGTATTTGTGTTAGCTTAAAATGTGATACAAATTTTCTCCACCGGAGCCTATCTAAGCGGCCAGGCCGAGAAGTATTATGCGGGTGCTTTTCGGGAATAGTCTGCCTTTTACACTTCAAGAAACTGGGAGTTTCAAAACTGCGATATTCGTACCGGCAGTTGACCAGCAGTGTAATTAGCTCTCATTAAGGCACAACACAGCGCAATTCATCCAGCAATAAAGGAAATCACATCATGGTTTCATTTTCTGACTGATTTATCCAGTAACGGATTCTTAAAATTAAGTCTTACACCAGGATAATTATCCTTCATCTGACCTTCTTGATAATTCATCTTGATAACTCAGCTGATTTGTTAAGTGGAATTTCTTGAAATGCACTGCCCACGACACCGGAAACTTCAAACTACGATATTATCTTTGAGTGTTCCCTGTTTTGAGGTTAAACATAGAGATGTTGGTAGATTTGTTAGTTAATTTATTTATTTATTTATTTATTTAACTATCAGCATCCTTCATACAGTATTTCATCCCTGGTTGATGTCTTCTGGGCAGGACCATGTGTTAATTGCCTCAGACCTCTGGCTATTCTCTGTTGCCTTCTTGTACAAAGTAGAAATAAAAAATAAAACCGCCACATTATAAGTTACCTCAGTCATCCAACAGCTTGAAAACCCTTTGAGGAAAAAGAAAGTTTGATTACCAATGTACAGGAGCATCCCTAAACCAACCGACTAAGTCGACACTTTGGGTGGATTTACAAGGAAACGTCCTTGTTCACAAGCACAAATGCTTATGTTTCGGGGGTGCAATGGCTCAAGTGTTTAGAGCGCAAATTATCCAGCCGAAAGATCCATGGTGCGAACCAACCTCTGCTGCTTGACTTCCCCTGTCTAGGTTTGGGCATCCTGGCAGTATCCCAGCCCTCGTCTTTCCTCTGAGTTGCATTACAGGTAGGCACCGGAAGGATGATACGCCAGAAAGCCTTCAGATGTTATTGTATTATATTACACGAACTTGCATGCCGACCATTCGTATGACGTTCCAGTGAAATATTATAGGCCTGCAGAAACGAATTTCCCAGTGTTGCTTCCAAGTAATATATGCGAATTTCCTTCATTTACACGAAATAGTACAAACGTTTTTCTTAACCACAATCTAGGATTTTGGTTTCCAAAAATTGGGGACGCAAAAACTCATATGGAAGTACTTTCGAGAATAACAGATTGTGTTTTTTATCTGAAGATTATTTTTCTGTTGGGTTTTAAAAATCCATTGCTTTCACAAATTATGGTATCATGTTAGCAGCTGACGCGCACGCCTCATTCAACATCTACCATGGAAGAATATCACAGGAATGATAATAAAATGATTACCAGTAAACGATGGAGGATCAATGTGATTTGTTTCTTATTGCGCGGCTGTAAAATATCGCATCAAACTGATATCACAACCGATATGAAATCTCTTGCAATTCCCACTTGGGGAATTACTCAAAGTTTTCTGTAAAACTTTCTATATCTCGTAAATTAAATAATTTGCGTTTTCAATTTATTTGACCAGAGTACTGGCGGTGTGTCCACCCAAAAACAACAACTATTCCCTTACATTCATGTTGAAAGCTAATCAAAGCGAACCAAGACTGTTTCGTCAGCCTCCACCAGACTGACTGAATGGATGGATTATTAGCTACAGGGCGGTTGACGAAGAAACCAATTAAATTCTCACTTGCATATAGTGAAAATAACTGGGCATTCTAAGGCCCTTGTNTTACCAGTAAACGATGGAGGATCAATGTGATTTGTTTCTTATTGCGCGGCTGTAAAATATCGCATCAAACTGATATCACAACCGATATGAAATCTCTTGTAATTCCCACTTGGGGAATTACTCAAAGTTTTCTGTAAAACTTTCTATATCTCGTAAATTAAATAATTTGCGTTTTCAATTTATTTGACCAGAGTACTGGCGGTGTGTCCACCCAAAAACAACAACTATTCCCTTACATTCATGTTGAAAGCTAATCAAAGCGAACCAAGACTGTTTCGTCAGCCTCCACCAGAC